TTGATAAATGGTGCAGAAAGCATACTATATTCATATGGATAAATAAAATCATGCTACTCATAATGTAGACAAAAAATATATCTCAAGGGATTAAAGACATGAATCAAAAATTCAAATTTTAAAAACTGCTAGAAAAAACATGGCAGACCACATTTATGACTTTAGAAACAGGGAAGGATTTTTAAAAACACAAAGGGCAAAGAAAACACAAGTTAAAAGACAAGCTACAGCCCAGCCGGTGTGGCTAAGTAGTTGTGTGTCGACCCATGCACCAAGAGGTTGCCAGTTAAATTCTCAGTCAGGGCACATGCCCAGGTTGTGGAACAAATCCCCAGTGGGGGACATATAGGAGGTGGCCAATTTATGTTCTTTCTCATCAATGTTTCTCTCTCTCTCTCTCTCCCTTTCCCTTTCTCTCTTTTTAAAATCAACAAAGAAAAAAATTTTTTTAAGAAAGACAAGCTACAGAGCAGGATAAGATATCTACAATAAAAATAAATGACCCTGGCTAGTCTGCCTCAGCAGTTAGAGCGTCGGCCTGTGGACTAGAGACTCCCGGGTTCAGTTCCCACTAAGGGCATGGACCGCGGTTGTAGTTTGTCCCCAGCCCTTGTTGGGGTCATGTGGGTGGCAGCCACTCGAGGTGTCTCTCTCACGTCGATATTTCTCTCTCTCTCTCTTCCTCCCTCTCTCCCTCCCACTCTATCTGAAAATACAAAAATGTCCTCGGGTGAGAATTTAAAAAATAAATAAATAAATGACAGCCCTGCTAGTTTTGGCTCAGCAGTTAGAGTGTCGGCCCGCAGACCAAAGGGTCCAGGGTTCGATTCCTGGTCAAGGGCACGTACCTGGGTTTCAGGTTGGATCTCCCACCCTGGTCAGAGTCATGCAGGAGGCAACCAATCCATGTGTCTCTATCACATCAAAGTTTCTCTCTCTCTACCTCCCTGCCTTCCACTCTATCGGAAAAATATCCTCAGGTGAGGATTAAAATAAATAAATGACAAAGAATCAATACCAATAATATTTAAACCACAACAACAAAAGGCAAATAAACTAACAGAGCAATGGAAAAAGGTAACAAATAGAAAATCATTGAAAAGAAACCCAATAAATATATGAAAGCATATTGCACTGAATATAAAATTAAAATAACCACTTGAGTGGAAGATGTTTATATCATATAACACAACAAATTTGCTTTTTGGTATATATCTCCTGGAAAATCCCAGTCATGTGCAAGGAAGATAGGCATTACAAGAACGTTCATTGCAAAATGGATTATAATAGCAAAAACAAAACAAAAAACTGGAAACTATATGCCCATCAACAGAATAATGAGTGAATAAATTGCAGTATATTCATATATTAGACTTCTCTACTAGAGTTGAAATGAACAAATTAGTGGTACACATATCAACATTTATATTCTTAAAAACATAAAATTGAGTAAAAAAAAAAAGCAAGCTACAGAATTACGTCACTTATATGAATATTTAAAACTTGCAAAATGGCAAGTTTTATAGATACATATTCAGCCACAGTATAAAAATATTAGGAAGAATGATAAATATCACAATTATGAGAAGGATTACCTCTGGGAAGGGGGAAGGAAAGGGAATGGGAATATGAAAGGTAACAGAGGGGTCCATCAACTTTGTCTTTATTTTTTTATTTTATTTTTATCCTCTCCTGAGGACGCTTTTTACATTTATCTTCAGATAGAGTGGAAGGGAGAGAGGGAGGAAGAGAAAGAAACATCAATGTGAGAGAAACACATCAACTGGTTGCCACCCACAAGACCCCAATCAGGGCCGGGGACAAACTGCAACAGAGGTCAAACTGCAACCGAGGTATGTGCCCTTAGTGGGAACCAAACCTGGGACTCTGGTCCACGGGCTGACACTCTAACTGCTGAGCCAAACTGGCCAGGGCTCAACTTTGTCTTTAATAACAGATAAACAGCCAGCCAGATAGACAGATGAAATACAATGTTAAGATTTCAAGATAGCTGGATTATGAGTACATGGGTGTTTGTTATTTAAAATATTAACATAAACTTCCTTAAAAAGAAATAATAAAAAAATGTGAACTACAGTACTAAATACATATCAAAAACTAAATGTTGTCCTGGCCAGTTTGGCTCAGAGGTTAGAGAATCGGCCTGTGGTCCAGAGAGACTCGGGTTTGGTTCCCACTAAGGGCACGTACCTTGGTTGCAGTTTGTCCGCGGTGTTGGTTGGGTCATGTGGGAGGCAGCCACTTGATGTGTCCCTTTCATGTTGATGTTTCTCTCTCTCTCTCTTCCTCTCTTTCCCTCCCACTCTATCTGAACAAAAAATGGAAAAATGCCCTCGAGTGAGGATAAAAACAAACAAACAAAAAAAAACTAAATGTTAATTTAAAAAATCAAATTACATCCCTGGCCGGTTTGGCTCAGCAGTTAGTGTCGGCCTGGGGATCAAATGGTCTTGGGTTCAATTCCAGTCAAGGGCACATGCCTGGGTTGCAGGTTCGATCCCCAACCCTGGTCAGAGTCATGTATGTGGAAGGCAGCCAATCAGTGTGTCTCTTTCACATCAATGTTGCTTGCTCGCACTCTCTCTCTCTCTCTCCCCACCCCTCTCCCTTCCACTCTCTAAAAATCAATGGGAAAAAAATTTCCTCAGGTGAGGATTAACAACAACAAAAAAATTAAGTTACAGAAACAGATGTATAGTACATTTACATACTATATAAACCAACATTTTTCATAACTACATTCACATTGGTAATTGTATAGTCCTTCATGGGAATGTCACTCCAAATTCAGGATAATGGTTAACTCTGGGCAGGGACTAAGGGAAACAGGACTAGGGAAAGGTACACAGGAAGTTTCAGCCAAATCTGTAATATTTCTTTGAAAAGTCTGAAGCAAATATGGCATTTGCTAAAGCTTGGTATTGAATAGTTTAGAAAAACCTATATTTATACATATATATGTATATATATATGTGTGTATGTATGTATATATATATGTAAATAGCAAGAGCAGCAACAATAAATGAAGAAAATGAATAATAAAGCTAACATTTAAGTACTTCCTCTAAGTGTCTGCATATATGTTCCTAAAAACAACCCTAGGAGGTAAAATCTATCACTATATCTAATACTATTACTATTAGATTCTATTATTCATTTCACAGATGAGGAACTGAGGCAGAGAGGGGTGAAGTTGGTCTAAGGTTATAAAGCTAGTAAATAATGAAAGGAACATAAGAAGCCAGGATTCCTGCTCCAAAGTTTACAACTTAATAACTATGTTATTGTTATTATATCATTCTCTATTCTTTTCAGCATGCTGAAAATCCAACATTTCTGTGTGGTGGAAAAATACTTTTAACCTATGACTATTAAGAATGTATGCGTGCACATACATGCACATATACACACATATATCTGTGTAGCTTAAACTGGTTCTAAAGCTGCTAAAGAATTCTAGGAATGCCTTAAAAATAGCAGCATCCCAACTACTCTAATTTACATGTTTGAGGTTTGATATTTTGGATCATTATTCCATAGTTAAACATAGTTTCTTCAATAACCCTAAGATAAAGTATATTTGGAATCCTAGCTAACGTATATGGGGAAGCATATGATGTAATTCAGTCACCTCTTTCTCTCTCATTAGGGGCAAAATCTGATTCCTTATCTTCAGGCCTGAAAATCTATATTAAGAAATTTAATACAATTTCAATTATTCATTTTTTTCTGATCTCTTCATTATGAGTTGATTTATTTTTTAAAAGCCAGTAGTTAATACTTTACAATAATAAAAATATAATTTTGTATAGGACTATTTATACCACAAAATAAAGGGGGAACTGGCATTTTTATTCATCAAATATTTATGAGCTTTTACTATGTGCTAATCATACACTCATTGTCCCAGTACCACTGTTACCATTTCTTAAATCTCTTCTTCTCCATCTATACACCCACATTCTCAATGCTATCATCTACCAAGCTATAGAATATACATTCAAAAATATGAAAAAGTAGTTCTTGCTTTCAAAGAACTCACCATTTAGTAGGGGAAATAGACAAGTAAAAGTTATCTATTATATATAAGTATTTTAAGAAAGACAAAAGGTATTAGCGAAACATAAGGATTGGGGCATATGAAAGGGTAGCTGGTGCACTTCCAAGAACAGGAAACCTGGAACATGATGAACAGGAAACAACTGTTTCAAGAACTTGTCTTAAAAGGAAGAAGAAAGGGTAATAGCTAGTGGCATACTTCCAGAGAAGGTTTTAAGATGAGAGAGATAAATACTTAGCATCAACTCCTCTGAATTGGTTCCTTGTTCCACTCCTCTCCTAAGACTAAATCCCAGATGAGTGTGAGCAAGTTACTATACATTTCTAAACCTCAAATGAGACAGATGCTTAAGAACTTTATAGAGGGAACCTAAATAAATGATCTCTAAAGGTCTTTCTAGATCTAAAATTCTATGATTCTATGATTATGATGATCTAATCTCTGTAAACTAAAAAATAAATCACAAAACAGTATGCAAAAGAGAAAAAACCAAGACCAATTAAGAGATAAACTGGTTTGTACAACTGCATTCTATTATTCTTGCAAAACTGTTAAAACAATTAATTCCTATTGTGAGCATCAGTAAAATTGCTACAAAAAGACAGTGCCAAGTTGGTAAAGTGCTTCTTTCTCTCAACCATGCAGTTCTAAAGAATCAATAAAGCAACCGTTTTGTAATAACAGATGTAAACTGCTTAAAAACCTATAGCTTAGACTTGTAAGAATTATAGTTTAAAAGTTGTCTACAGACATTCTTACTATAATGTATTTATTCATTATCTTCGTTGTAAAATTTTAATGTACAAGTTAAAGGTTCATAAAGAGTTTTTTTAAAAACCCAGCTAAGATTGCTTTTTATAATAATATGCCTTCTTTTCACTATTACACATTCTGAAATTTAGAACAAGGTTTCCCTTACCTGATATGGACATGGAATGTGATATTCTCTGCAGCGTTCTTGTATCCATGTTGTTTCCCAGATGCCACGGTAAGCTTGTTCATAAAAGTAGCATCCAATTACAACCAAGAGTGGTACAAGATAGAGAATGCTGAAAACACCAATCCGGATCATAAACTTCACCAATTTATCTTGGTTCTCCTTTTCTAATGGAATCTCAATTCGAACTCTGTTTAGAGATATAATGCCAGCTAAAAGGAGTGAAACCCCAACTACCACATATAGGCAGAGGGGTGCAAGAACAAAATATCTCAATGCATCAATATCGTAGAGGCCAACAAAACACACGCCACTGATATTGTCACCTTCAATTTTATTCATCGCTAAAAGGATGATAGTTAGAGTTCCAGGGATGCCCCATGCACTGGCATGAAACAGCAATGCTTTCTTCTCAATAGCTTCGCTACCCCACTTTGGCACAGCTGCCAAGAACCAAGTGATGGTAAGAATTACCCACCAAACGCTGCCAGCCATAGTAAAAAAATAAAGTACCATAAAAAGCATGGTACAGGCTTTATTATGAGATCCTTGTGTCACTGTAGAAGCCTTATATTGTGCAGGGCTAGATGCATTGCAGGCTACTCGATCCTCAAGCAAAAACCCAATGAAGAAAATTAATGATACCATCATGTAGCAGACTGCATAAAATATAATTGGTCTTTCAGGATAACGGAATCTTGTGACATCAATCAAAAAAGTTAAAAAAGTAAACAATGTGGCAGAGAGGCAAATGATTGAAATCAATCCTATGAAATATCGAGCAAATGAAAGTTCTTCTCTTCTAAAGTACATATTTGGACAAGGAGGTGAACAATCACGCACGTGCAAAAAAGAATAACCAAGATCAGGATCAATTTTCAATTCCCGGGGACACCAAAAACCATAATCCCTCTGCACTGCCACTGGGGCTCCTTCAGTAGGATCTCCTGCTAAATTCAGATCCACAAGTCGAGGGTATGGCTCATCACAATCTGGGAACCTATAAAATATAAGATGAGAACCATTTTACTTATTGGGAAATCCATTGCCACCTAACAATTTGGACTTCCAAATTTAGCATCTGTAACCTTACTATTTATTCTACTGTCCTTGGAGCACATTTCAATAAGTAGAAATAAAGTGAACGGTGATATCTTCTGTGTGGAGTATAGACCTAGATTTTCCATAGTTGACCAAAAATGATTAAGTTTTATACTTAATTTTTCTTTGGTTTTAAAAACAGTACTCTTTCTTAAAATAGTCAAGCACAGTCATAAAAAAAAAAAAGTATATAGAGAAACTATTTATTTAGAGCACACAGTTCAGAGGATTTCAAAATATAAACATATATATAAAATAAGTAAAATAAATAAATATAGCTCCAACAGAATAGGTCTAACTATAGTATAGTCCACAATTTACTCTAGACTCAAATAGAACTTAGTTAAACATAAGAGTTAAAAGTATTCCCTAAATGCATGGCCCAAGGTATTTAAAGTTAGAGTAGCATTAAAAATCCTAACAAGTGGCTTAGTTTTTAGTTTTATTCTTCCCATTTTACAGTCCTACTCTGCTTATCATATGGGTTATTAAAGGCCTTCTAAGGTCTCTAAATGTCAACTAGTTCTTTCCTATCATCTTTAATTTCTCTCTAATCCATTGCATTTTCTAATTTAGTTATTCTCAAACTTTAAAGTACATGAGAAAACTGAAAGTCCTTTTAAAATGTAAATTCTTGATCCCCATCACCACCAATCATATTTCAGTATACATGTTAGGGCCCAAGAAATCTGCATTTTAACAATTTTCCAGATCCACAGACTTGAGAAAGTATCATAGCCTCAGGACAAAGAAAATAGGCTTGCACTGTAGACATACTTACATGACTAAGGGTAGCATTCTCATGCACTTCCTGCATTTTCAATTTTCTTGCCAGTAGTAGTTTCTAAGCCTTCAGACTTCCACTAACTAAATGTTTACTAATTTATATGCATCAAATAGTTTCCAAGGAACTATCATTGATATTGTTTGCCAAATGCATGCATAACCTTATGCTATAGCAGATTAATCTTTTATTTTCCAATGTAAACCATTTTCTTCACAGGGCTTGGAATTATAAAGCCAAAAGACAGAAATTTATCATACTCAGGCATTTATTGGAATCCTGCAGTATGTGAGTGGTTTTTAACATAAACAGACAAAAGAACAGGGTCTCTATCCTTCAGTCTAAAAGGAGACACATACTTGTAAAGACAACACAAAATACAGCAGTGCAACACATGAAGCAATCAAAATCTATATAAAGTATAAAATGATATAGAGAAGGATTAATTATTTCAGGGGAAAAGTTTATAAAAGACTTCACAGAATAAGTCCCTTAACACAAGATTTTGAATCAGTATTGGAAGTATGCCAAACTGTATTTTAGCAAGAAATGCAAGCAAAAGCATAGAGGTTTGAACAAGATGTATTTAGTATTGCTGGAGCATGAGGTATGCAAGACTTGTGACAAAGGATAAGGTTGGAGAGTTAAGCATGTTGCAGAAACATATGTGTACGTTTCTCTGTGTGCGTGTGTGTGTATGTACATACAAAGACAAAATTTAAAACCATGCAAAGTAATACTATATATGTTTATTGCTCTATTTGAATATATCCTACTGCCAGTTCAACATATATTTGCCCTTCACTCTTTAATCCTTCACAAACCAAACTTAATTTCCACTCTTTAGATTTCTCCATCTCCATAAATGATAATTCCATTCTTTTAGTTGCCTAGGCCAGAAACCTTGGTGTCATCTTTGAAGTCCCTTCTCTCTCAATTACCCCTCAGATTTTACCAGCAAATCCTGTTATTCTACTTTGTGATATATCTAGAATCTGACCACTTCTCTTTATCTCCACTGCTGCCCGCCAGCTTGAGACATCAGTGCCTCTTCCCTGAACTTCTGGGAGTGGTTGCAATTTAATCTCCACTTCTATACAGTAGTCACTCCTGGGCTCAAAATCCTCTAATGGCTTCCCTTCTCACTTAGAGTGCATACTAGAGCCACCCCCACCCCCAGTACTCTTCTGATCTTACTTAATCTTTCCATTCGTCCTCACTCACTTGGCTCCAGCCCCTTTCATCTTCTTGTTTGAATATTTCAAGCATGCTTCCACTTCAGAATCTTTGAACTTGTTCCTCTGTTTCCTCTGCCTGGACTGTTCTTCCCTAGATATCTGTATTATTCTCTCATTTTACTTATGTCCCTGTTCCAATGCCTCCTAATCAAAAAGGCCTTCCCCAATGCCTCCGCAGAAAATAGAGTCCTTCTACTTCCCTGTAATGTATCACTATCACCTAACTCTACTCTTTCTTAATAGCATTCGTTACAATCTGACATTTATTTACCTCCTACCACTAGAATTGTAGCTCCATAAGAAGAGAGATGTTTTGTTTACAGATCATCCTCAACACAGAACAGTGCCCAGCACACAGAACATATCCAATTAATATTTGTTGAATCAATGATTGTTGAATAAATGTATTCATATAGTCCTAACTTAAGTAATTAGAAAAATGACTAGGAGCAGTGTGGAAGACAGATTGAGCTGGGCAAAAATGGGGACAGAGATACCAGTTGAGCCAGAACAAAAACAATATATGGCAGTGAGCATGTGACAGCTATGAAATTAGTTAAATAAAGCAATGGGATTTATAATTCATTGAAAGTGGAAGTTAAGGTCAAAGAAAGAGGAAAATAGATGTCTTCCAGGGAATAAATAAATGATCCAGGAATAAAATAAAAGTTAGATGTGTTGAAATTGAGGTATCTGAGACAAATTCAGGCTAGGATTTTCCAGTGGCTCTGAATATGCAGATGTGGAACTTGGTAGAAAAATGTCAAGGCTACAGATTAGATTTAGGAGTCATCAGTATATGAATAAAAGGTTAAATCAGTAAGATGGTATTATCTGCGGAAAACATATAGAATCAAAGAGAACAGGAACAGAACTCTGAGAAGCAACAGTATTTAAGGGTCAGAAAGAGGTAGAAAATCCAAGAAAGAAAATTGAGAAGGATTGGTCTGAGACATAGCAGACTACAAAGGTCACATAGAATGGCCTAAGTGATTTTCATGAAAGGAGGACTAGTTGAGGTTGAAGGGAATAAGGGTCAAATATAGAATAAAAATGAAATATGAGTCTGAAATGAGTTATATAGATTTGGCATAGGTGCTAAGGGGAATTAATACAAATTTCCCTCTTGACCAAAGAAAAACAACAAATAGAATTGCTATGATTTGAATAATTAAATAACAGCGTAGGTAATTTCTAAGAAGAAATTGGTTGAATCAATCCAGTTGGGGATTTGAAAAAGTACAGAAGGAATAAATTAAATTGCTAGCAAAACTGTTATTTCAAGTGATAGACCACAAACCTTATGTTAAGTAAGGAAATAAATAAGATCAGGAAGGGATCTATTGGGAGGGGGAAAAAAACCCAAAACTCTGGGGGTGTCCATGAAGTGGAGACAGATAGAGGAGGAACAAAAATATGAGAGATTTGGAAGAATAAAAAGTTGTTATGAAAGGCTAGCTTGCCAAAATTTAAGATTTCAGATTAGGCAATCCCAGACAATACTGAGAACATAAAATAGATTTAATCCTATCATAACAAACAAAGAAATAAAGATTATAATGAGATTTCTATACTTGTATATAAACTGTTAATATAAAAAGGCCACTAAACAATGAGGGTTAAATACAGGATTCTGGCCCAGTCAATTCATAACTGTTGTTATAAACACCAAGAAATTTAGACTTCTAAAGAGGGAATATAAAGCGACTGTAACCAAAACAGCCTGGTACTGGCACAAGAACAGGCATATAGACCAGTGGAACAGAACTGAAAACCCAGAAATGGACCCAAGGCAATACGCTCAACTAATATTTGACAAAGGTGGCAAGAGCATACAGTGGAGTAAAGACAGCCTCTTTAATAAATGGTGTTGGGAAAATTGGACAGCTACATGCAAAAAAATGAAACTAGACCATCAACTTACACCATACACAAAAATAAACTCAAAATGGATAAAAGACTTAAATGTGACCCGTGAATCCATAAAAATTCTAGAAGAAAATGTAGGCAACAAAATTTCGGACATCATACGGAGCAGAATTTTCACTGATACATCACCTAAGGCAACAGAAATAAAGGAGAAAATGAACACATGGGACTACATCAAACTAAAAAGCTTCTGCACAGCAAAAGAAACAATCATCAAAATGGAAAGGCAACCCACTGTATGGGAGAACATCATTGCCAATGATGTATCAGATAAGGGGTTAATTTCCAATATATATAGAGTGCTCATACAACTCCACAAAAGGAAGACAAAGAACCCAATTAAAAAATGGGCAGAGGAGCTGAATAGACACCTCTCCAAACAGGACATACAAATGGCCAAGAGACATATGAAGAAATGCTCAACATCACTAATCATCAGAGAGATGCAAATTAAAACAACAATGAGGTATCACCTCACACCTGTCAGAATGGCCGCCATCAACAAATCATCAAACAACAAGTGTTGGCGAGGGTGTGGAGAAAAGGGGACTCTAATACACTGCTGGTGGGAATGCAGACTGGTGCAGCCGCTATGGAAAACAATATGGTGCTACCTCAAAAAATTAAAAATTGAACTTCCATTTGACCCAGTGATCCCACTGCTGGGAATATATCCTAAGAAGCCTGAAACACCAATCAGGAAGAATATATGTACCCCTATGTTCATAGCAGCACTATTTACAATAGCTAAGATCTGGAAACAGCCCAAGTGTCCACCAGTAGACGAATGGATAAAAAAGCTGTGGTACATATACACAATGGAGTACTATGCAGCTGTAAGAAAGAAAGATCTCTTATCCTTTGAGACGACATGGAGGGACCTGGAAAGTATTATCCTAAGTGAAAGAAGCCAAGCAGAAAAAGACAAATACCACATGATCTCACTTATATACGGAATATAATGAGCATAACAGTCTGAGGAATACAGTAGACCCAGACACATGGAAGTAGGGCACAGACTGACATCCCTCAGAAGAGGGGATGGGGGATGGGGGGGTGGGAAGAGATAAACCACAGAACTTATATGCATGTATGCATGACCAATGGACATGGACAACTAAGCCGGGGACAGGGTGGAGGGGGGGTGGGGTGGGGGGTGACAATGGGGTAAAAAGGTAAAATATCTGTAACAAAAAAATAAATAAATATTCATAAAAAAAAAAAAAAGAGGGAATATAAACACTCTCAGGTGTTTGAAGACAGAGTAGATAAAAAAGCAAAGTGTCAGTGAATTGACTACAATAAATTAGTATGTTTTATTTCTTAATTTTTTCATCTCTCAAATGAGATAAACAATACCTGCTTTTTACCTACCTCCAAGGGCTATTGTCAGATGATAAACAAAATTAATTTTAAACACAAAGGAGAAAAGAATGTTCACTGCAGCATTGCTTATAATAGCAAAAATCTAGAAATAACCCAAATAACCATCCCTAGGAGACAGCTAAATAAATAACTATAGGATATTAATTCAACTGGCCATTACATAAAAGTCAAGGGAATGAACCAGACCTAAGATATAAACATAGGTACATGTAAAAATAATTTAATGTTGTTTATGGATATGTATATATGTAGTAGGAGTATAAAAACAAACACAGGAATGATTAACAATAAATTTAACATAATGATTACTTCATCTCTAGGGAGAAAAGAAGGTAATGAAATCAAGACAGGTACTAAAGAAAGAATTTTCAACTTCATCTATATTATTTTATTTCTTAAAAAGAAAAAACAGAAGCAAATATTGCAAAATATTAAGACTGGATAAAGCTAGATATTAATAGGTACATACATATTCCTCTTAATATTCTTTAGTCTTGAAATATTTCAGAATACAAAAAGGCACAATGTTTTATATAAGAAATACAGTATTACTACTGTATACATTATTACTATGATAATGTTCTCTGATACAAATCTGTAAGACCGTCTGATAAACATCGTTTAACCATTAGGAGATCCTTAAAATCTATATATTAGAAATAATTAGAAAAGCATCTGACATTTCCTGGGTCCAGTATATTAATATATGACAGAAAAACAGAACTACTTTAGTCATTAACACACTTAAATCATCAAAAGATTTAAGTCCTATTAAATCATCATTAAAAGTATTTAATGATGAGGCAACAAATGATTTATTTTGTCCTCTGTATTTTCATAAATGGCATTACTTTTATAACCAGAAAAAAATTTTAAGGGAGAAAAATCAATGGAAAGTCTTAAGTTTTCCTTTAATTTAATTCTTTAAAAAAAATGTCTTCATAGTAATGTTTCTCTTTCTACTTTTTATTTAATGCTTCCAAATTTCTAAGAAAATGAGTAATTCTGAGGCCAGGAAACTGCTGTTCAAAATTAAGACTAATATATGTACTTTCAAAATGTTTTAAAAAACTGATAAACCAGAAGTAATTTTTAAATATAGTGCAACATAAGTAATGATCCATGAAAACGTATGATTTTCGCACCTACTGCATTCCATATCTTCAGGCCAAGGAACACCAAACATCTCCATAAGCTTTGAACACTCGCTGTAAGCCCTCTGACACAGCCTACGGCAGGGAAGTGTGACACGTCCATATTCCATGCAAATAGGAGCATAGAGTGCACAAAGAAATGGCCGGAAATCCTGAGAACAATCCAGATTCACCATAGGGTGGAATGGCTAGGAAAAAGTTAAAATTGAGTCATTAGAGAAAGAATTGTATATATATTAAAGTTTTCTATATACAATATTGAATGTTCATTTTTGTTTTAAATAATTTCTGAAAGTCATTAAAATTTTTTGAAGGAGGGTTTTTGTTTTTTTAAACAAACCCTCTTAGCCCTACCCCTAGAGATTGTGATTTGGTTAAGTCTGAGATGTATTCCAGAATCTATATGAATATTTTAATTGTTACAGGATATTAATGAAGAGACAAGGCTGAGAACCTCTAATAACTTCATTTTACAAAGAAAAAAACACAAAAGATATATGCCAAATGCTCAAGAGTGATTAGTACTTGGTGATGAGATTTTAAAAATTTAATACTTCTTATGTATTTCAATTTCTATTATTTTCTTCAATTAACATGTATCAACAGGAGAGGACAAGAAGTGAGAGGGAAGGGGGAAGAGAGGGAGAGAAATAGTTATACCAGTAGTTATTTTGAGGGTGAGAAGTAGGGAAGAGATCTCTCACCTTTTCTCATATTTTCTTAATCTTTTTACATTAAAAAGTAAAAATAAAACAAAGCGCAGTTCTTTAAACTCTGAAATCACCTGATATAAACAGAGCTAACACTGTAAGTTGATATTTAGAAAACAAAAGGAAAATAGTGGCTCCAAACATAAAACCGTACTAAAATCATCATCATAACCACAGGAATAGATCAAATAACCCAAGAAGTATACATCTGGGCTTTTGACTACGACATATTTTTTCACTTGTTTACATAACAGTTTCAGAATCACTAATGATTTTGAATTGATAACAAATATTTTCACCTATTGAGTAAAAATCTATTTATTTCTACACTGATGTATATTTTCCAGAGATCTCCCATACACAATGCAGGCAGAAAAGCAAGAGTCACTTAAAGAAATTGATGTCAAGTAAGTTAACTGTATAACGGATGTGATAACCGATATATAACAATAAACTATTTGTGGCAATAAACTATGTTACTATCACTTCCAGGTATGAAGTAGTAGTTTTTGTTAAACCAGTGTTTCCATCAAGAACTACTTTAAAATACAGGGAAAAAGTTTTAAAATATATTTTTAAAGTTATTGGAGAACTATGGAAGGAAAAGAACGAGAGAGACCAGGAATCCAGAGAGCAGGGAGGCATGGTGAGGTGGCCTGATGAGTGCAGCCACATTTCCAAGGAGGCATTTGTTGAATCTGGGCATGAGGCAAGAGGCTGAGAACCAAATTTGCCTAGACTCTTGCTAGAAAACTGAGAAACCATCAAAACTTTGCTGTTCTTGCAAGGCTACAGATAAAATTCACATGCAAAAGCATAAAGTTGAGCCCTTCTGCTTTACAGTCATCCCTCACCATCTCGCGCTTAGACTTTATTTGAAAAAAACCGTGATAGAGTGAAGCCGCGAAAGAAGTGTGAAGTGGCAAGGAACGACTCTATAAATAAATAATCCTACTTCGCAGAAATTCATTTATTGCGGTAGAGTCTGGAACTGATTAACTGCGATAAACGAGGGCCGACTGTACACCATATACAAAATTTAACTCTAAATGCATCAAAGTCCTAAATATAAGAGCAAAATCTATGTAACTTGTAGAAGAAAACATAGGAGTAAATCTTCATGACCTTGGATTGAGAAATAGTTTCTTAGATACAACACCAAATGCACAAAAGAAAAAAAGATAAATTGGACTTAATCAAAATTAAAAACTTTTGTCTACTAAAGGGCACTAGCAAGAGAATAAACAGACAAACCTCAAAATGGAAGGAAACATTTGTAAATCAGATCTCTGATAAAGGTCTAGTATCCAGAATACAGAAAGAACTCCTATAACTCAACAAAAAGACAACCCAATTTTTTAAATAGGCCAAAAACTTGAACATCTGACATTTCTCGAACGAAGTTATACAATGACCATTAAGCACATCAAAAGATGCTCAATGTCATTAGTCATGAGGAAAATGTAAGTCAAAATCACAATGAGATGCCATATCCCACCCAACAGGATAGGTATAATAAATAACAAAACAGAAAATAACAAGGCTGTGGAGAAATTGAAACCCTTATACACTGTTTATGGGAATGTAAAATGAGGCAACCACTATGGAAAAGAGTTTGGCAATTCCTCAATAAGTTAAACATAGAATTACCACATGATCCAGCAATTCCACTACTATGTACACCCAAAAGAATTAAAAATGGTGTTCAAGCAAAAATTTGTATATGAATGCTCATAGCAAAGCAACATTGTTCATAATAGCCAAAAGGAGCAAAATAAACAAAAAGTAAGCAAATGGAAAGAAAATAATAAAGAGAAGAAATCGATGAAACTGAACACAGAAAAACAATAGAGGGAAAAAAACCACTCAAACCAAGAGCAGGTTCTTTGAAAATATCAATAAAACTGATAAGCTTTTAGCAAGACTGATAAAGAAAAATGAGAAACATAAATTACCAATGTCAAAAATAAAAGAAAGGGTGTCCTCTGCAAACATGAAAAAGATAAGGAGCCCTGGCCAGTTTGGCTAGCAGTTGGAGCATCAGCCTGCCTGGGTTTGGGTCATGCGGGAGGCAACCAATTGATGTTTTTCTCTCTCTCTCTCTCTCCCCCTCCCACTCTATCTGAAGATAAATGAAAGAATATCCTCCAGTGAGAATTAAAAAAAAATCAAAACAGTAGCAAATCAAATCCAAAAATATATTAAAAGTATTATATACCACAATCTAGGCTGATTCAATATTCAAAAATCAATGTATCCACCAAAATAACAGGCTAACAAAAATCACATGATTATATCAAATGATGCAGAAATAGCATTCATGATTTTTAAAGTTTTCAGCAAACTAGAATTAGAGGGTAACTTCCTCAACTTGATAAAGTGCATCTACAAAAACTCTCTAGTTAACATCATACTTAATAGTGAAGTACTGGATTCTTACCTCTAAGACTGGAAACAAGGCACAGACGCCTGTTCTCACCAATCTTATTCAACACAATACTGGAGGTCCTACCAGCATAATAAAGCAAGAGAAGAAAATAACAGGTGTAGAGATTGGAAAAGAACACTGTCTCTACTTGCAGATGATGTTACTGTCTACATAGAACATCCCAAGGAATCTACCAAAAAACATCTAGAACTAACAAGTGAGTTCAGCAAGGTTGCAGAATGTAACCTTGGCCAGTTTTGCTCAATGGTTAGAGTGCCAGTCTGCGGACTGAAGGGTCCCAGGTTCAATTCCCCATCAAGGGCATGTACCTGGGTTGTGGATTTGATCCTGGCCCTGGTCAGGGTCAAAAGGGAGGTGACTAATTGAGGTGTCCCTCCCACATTAATGTTTCTCTCTCTCTCTCTCTCTCTCTCTCTCTCTCTCTCTCTCTCTCTTTCTCTCTCTCTCTCTCTCTCCTTCCTTCCCTTTCACTGTATCTAAAAATCAATGGGGGGAAAAATTTAAAAATTGTGTTTTTCTATATAATGAGCATCTGGGAACTAAATTAATACATTTATAATCACTAAAAAAAAAAAAAAAAAAAAACCCCGTATAAATCAAACAAAACATGTATAGAACTTATACAAAACATTAATGAAAAAAATCAAGGAAGACAGAAATAAGTGAACAGATAGACACTTTATTAGTTTGCTAAGGCTTCCATGACAAAGTATCACACAAACTGAGTGGTTTAAACAACAGAAATGCATTGTCTCAAGTTTCTGGGAGCTAGAAGTTCCAGATTAAAGTTGTTAGCAGAAAAGTTATGTCTGCACAAAAAGCTGTACATGAATTTTCGTAGCAGCTTTATTTGTCATTACAAAGAGCTGGAAATAACCCCATGTCCTTCAATGGGTGACTGGTTAAGCAAACTGTGGTGCATCTCTATAATGGAATACTGCTCAGCAATTAAAAATAATGACTGTTCACACCTATAACAACTTGGATGGCTCTCAAGGGTATTATGCTAAATGAAAAAAACTACTCTCAAAAGATTACATACTGTATGACTCTATATAACATTCCTGAAATGACAAAATTACAGAGATGGAGAACAAATTAGTGGTTGCCTGGGATTAGGAAAGGAGCGGAGAGGGAGTTCCTTGGTGGTAATAAAACAGTTCTGTATCTTAAATGTAGCAGTGGGTACATCAATTTATACATGTGATAAAATTGCAAAGAGTACACACATATGCACATATGCTTACACACACACGCACACTAAAGAGTACACGTAAAAACTGATGAACTATGATAAGGTCTGTAGATTACACTGATGTTACTTTCCAGGTTTTGATACCATAAAATAGCTATATAAGATACTAAGATGGGGCCCTGGCCGGTTTGGTTCAGCGTTTAGAGCATTGGCCTGCGGTCCAGAGAGACCCGGGTTCAGTTCCCACTAAGGGCGCACGCCTCAGCTGCAGTTTGTCCCCGGCCCTGGTTGGTCGTGCAGGTGGCAGCCACTTGATGTGTCCCTTTCACGTCGATGTCTCTCTCTCTCTCTCTCTCTCTCAATCTTCCTCTCTCTCCCTCCCACTCTATCTGAACAAAAAATGAAAAAAATGTCCTCGGGTGAGTATAAAACAAAACAAACAAACAAAAAAAGATACTAAGATGGGGAAAACCAGGTAGAGTACACAGAATCTCCTGTCCTAGTTTTGCAACATCTCGTGAGTCTATAATTATTTTATTTTTAATCCTCACCCAATGATATTTTTCCATTTATCTTCAGATAGAGCGATGGGGGGGGAGAGAGAGAGAAATACTGATGTGAGGAAGACACATTGATTGGTTGCCTTCCACACGGCTCAGACCAGGGCTGAGAAATGAACTGCAACCGAGGTATGTGCCCTTGACAGGAATCGAACTTGTGACTCTTGGGTCCATGATCCAACGCTCCAACCACTGAGCCAAACCAGCTAGGGTAAGTCTATAATTATTTTAAAATTAAAAGTTAAGCCCTGGCCAGTTTGGCTCAGTAGTTAGA